TAGAAGGTTTGTTTAGAAAACTTGGGGAAGCTTCTAAATTAGTGGAGTACAGAATTTCTCTAAAAATGTGGACATTTTCTTTGGTAAATTGTAGAATGGGAAAGGCCAGTTTCCTAAAGAATGTCTTGATGTGACTTTCTGGGGGAAAAAAAAAGCCAGTTTTCTGGTTAAAATTGTATTGAGTAAAATCTCTTCAATTGCAACTAGTGAGATGCTCACGTAGATGAGAAACCCATGTAGGGTTATTACAGTTGATGTGATTGGTGTATGATGCAGAAGGATTGAATTTGTTTAAGATTAATCATGAGTGAAAGTTAATTTAGTATATTGTATAGCATCACTACATGGTTGTTTATCTCTTGGCTGAATGTGTGCCTTCCAAGGTCTGCAGTCTTGTGCCACCCTGTTTAGAGCAGTGCCAGCTCAGGGCAGCCTGTACCCACGCCAGGTCATGTTAAATCCAGGTCAGCATCCAAGGGGAATCAATTTGCTTTGCTAGTTTATTTTCTGGGCATCATTTATACATGCTCAATTTTTTTCAGTGTCAGACCAAACATATTTATGTTAGAATTTATTCTTTGTGATTGTAAACCACTTATTTTGGAGCCAATATAAATTATTCCTAATGAAGCACTAGGGACAGAAGGAAATTATTTTTGTTAAACTAGTACTTCAGTATATTTCTCTCCCTCTTTCAAACAGAGGACTCCTGTGAGAAACTGATATTCAGTATTACTCATTATCTTGTTAGTTCACTAGATCAAGATGTGGGTGTGTGGTATAGAAAAGTAGGAAAGTTGGGAGTTAAAAGCAGGCTGATACAAGCTATTGAGAATGAAAAATCAAATGAGGCCACTTATGTTTTAAATCAAGAATATATTTTTGGTGAAAATATTTTCTAATGATTCACAGAAGAATGTTGTCAACTTTGCCTACATCTGCTGAAAATCAAAATAAAAGTAGTTATGTAGCATTGAATTCTGGCAGGAGTCTGTGCTGTGACATGAAACAAAGTTCCCATTAAATGATGATATTTTTCTGGCTTTAAAAGTAGTTTCCTGACTTAAAAATGTAGCAGCATTTTTTTCTCCTCTACATTACATGGACAAGTTGGCAACATGCCCGTCTGATTTCCAGAGTAGGTTTCTTAACATAATTTTGATGGGAAGATAATTGTTTAATGTTAGTGTTTAAAGTTCTGCCATAGTTTAAATAAACTGAAAAAAAGAAAACACAAAGAGGAGTTTTTGTATAATTACTGGTAAAACATACATGGAACATTTAGGCAGTAAGGTCCGAACAAATGGGAATAAGGGTTTCCAAGTTTTATAATATTCATAAGGATCCTTTCACTCATTGCTTGATTTTTTATGTTTCTGAATTTATACAACAGAAGAGCAGTGTATTTATCTATTTCTAGTTTTTTGTGTGCTTATACTCTCTACTTAAAAGAGTGTCATATAAAAATGAAAATCACCTAATATGTGTTATGTGCCAAACAACATCACTACAATATAAACTGAGGCAGAGACTAGTTAGAAAATTCCATCCCAGCCCCCTCATGTAAACAGTTTGTGCTAATGTAAGGATTTTTATTTAGCAAAATCTATGAAAATTGACTTTGTGCTCTGGACATCACAGTGAAAGCTATTACCCTCTAACAATATTGTATTTAAAGTATCACTAGTTAGCTTCTCTTTTAACAGTGTTATTTTGTAAAAACCTTGGAGATGTTCTAAATTGTAATTTGTGTTCAAACCAACTTCAGTCAGCATCTTCTCCTTGTATGTTAAATAGTAGACTTTTTCTTACTTGATTGGCATTAATTCTAATCAGCTCTAACCTTTTTGTGTAGAATGGAGACAAAGAGTTTGAAATGGTTCCTACAGGCAGCTTTGGTTCTGAAATTAAATGGAGAGAGCGAGCTTGAATTCTCCTATTTTGTTCTAGTGCTCTCTTCATAGAAAATTATATCAATTACCATAGAGTTTAGATACACACAAATTCTGAGTGCAAATATCATTCCCCTATTTACTAATATCGAGGTTTCCTATCCTTTTTAACTTAAAGAACTGGACACTTTCTCTTCTATTCTCATAAAGACTAACTTAGATACTATGTTTAATGTTTGACATATAGTAAACATTCAATGAAAGGTAGTTATCTTCTCTGTGTACACAGCTGACTCTGGGAACTTATGACCTGACCTAACTGAAATGTGGCAAAAATCCTTGAGTTATCTTTCCTAGGAATAAGCAGCCTTGGATTGAGGGTCTTTTCCTGCATCTCCCTCTCTCTATAACAGGAACTCAGTATTTTAGCAGATGTAGAGAAAACATGCCAGGCAGCATCCGTGCCATGGTGGTGATGGTGGGGTGGGAGTGGGGCTATACTGCTTTTTCTGTCCTTTGAGCAGTAACCACAGTGAACTACGGGGGAAAGAGGGGAGAGCTGGGGAGTTGCCCACTGCCTCATTGTGACCAGCCTTCTTCACTGGCTGTGGGAGGGATTTCCTTTACCTTTTTTGTTCCAAAATTTCAGCCAAAAACATTTTTTTCACCAAAATTATTTATATGATTCTTGGGAGGAAGATTTACATATGTGTATGTACACACACACACATCTTGTTTGTATCTTTGTAGATCTGTGGACCCAGCAGGCACACCCCGACACCCCCACAGATTGCAGACTGACACTGAAGGATGTCAAATGGCAATTCTTAAAACTTCTCCAAGATACCTTATTAGGGAGAAGTACTTTGGTACATCTGTTAAGTCATTGAGTGGCAGGTTCTTATGATGTTATCTTTCTTATTTAATTAGTTGCTCATTATTTATTAATTATCTCTCTATAAACAACACTTGCCCTTTTTATTCCCTGTGAGATTTCTGAAAGGGTAACACTCATAAAATAACACAGTATTATAAAAAGCATCTCAAAGTGAGAATCTAGTTAAGTATCTGGAAGCTTAAATTCAAACTAATTCATTGTCATCACAAATGTTGAAATATGTACTGAAACAGTTCATTCAGTTTTTCCCTGAAAAAATTCATTTTGATGAAACACTATGGGGACTTTTTCACTGTAATTGGCAATCGTATGCCTGCCTCTTTGTCTAATCTCATGATTGAGGGAACAGTGCGATATAAAGATGCCGTTGAGACATGACTAGGAGGAAATGTTGCTACATGTTTATCCCTTGTGTAAAAATCCTGAGCCATCACTAAGTACGGTCTTTATATATTAGCTCAGTCAATAATAATTAGGATTATGTTAGATCTGTAGTAAGCCAGAAGGATTAGAATTTAAACCCAAAAGAATAATAGAGTGAACCCATTTGAAAATATAACAAAAATCTCATGTTTTTAGAGGAATAAGAGAGGGGACCAGTTTGGTTATAGAACTGCTATGGGTTGTAGAACTCTTAATTATTTAATATACTACTTCTATTAATTGTGAAAATACTACTACTACTAATAAATACCTTTTGCTGAGTGCTCGAGAAGTGGCACTGTGCAGTGACGAAGGGTCTGGGCCCTGGAGACAGACGGGCCACGGTGGAATCCAGCTCCTGCCATTTGCTCCATCAGCTGGGGCCCTTTTCTTAACCTTTCAGAGCCTCTCTTTTGCATCTGCTGCAGATAATAACAATGCCTGCCTTCTAGAGTTGTAGGGGGGATTAAACTAGCTAAACCTAAGGGTTCAGAACAGCAAGTGTTGTTTTACTGGTTCTGTTGTGCTTTATGCATCTGTGTAAAAAGAAGCATTACTGTTGTACAGGCCAAGTAGTCAGTGTGTTATGCTAAATTAGAACTGATGTAGTTTTAGTACACCAGAAAGTAAACAGGATTCTGGGGTTCTTAAGACATAAACATTTTTTTTTAAAGTAAGGGTCCTTTCATACCATCTTAATTTGTTTATACAGAAAAATAGAGATTGACCTGATAAAGAATGAAAACTATGAAATAGCTAGTTACCTTGCTTTACTGATATTTTCCTCAGTCTTCCTTTAACTCCTAAACACCTAGCCTGAACAATAGTGCTGTAGAGAGCATAGTCATATAAAACAAGCAATCCTTCAATTTTCCTTCTTTAACTAAAGGAAAAAAATAAGACTTTGTTTTGGTATGTTTAAGTCAAGGGTAGTTACGTACAGCATACAATGTTAGTTCCATATTAAAATGACAATGATGAAAAGGTTATTAAGAAAGATGACATTGAACTTCAAGGATTTTCCTGAAGGTTCCCCCCCACACACAATAATTTATTTATTTATTTACGTATGATTGCATTCAGCTCCTTAAAATAACCTATTAAAATCTGAGTGATGATAGTCTTCCATTTGCACATTCATAATTTAGACTCTTTTATAAAAGAAAGGAAGCTACTCCACAATTAGTACTTCAGAACCGGGAGATTATCTATTCCCAGCATATATTCTTAATGAAAATGTCTTGGGAATTTAAACGCATGATGCCTTTGGACTGCTTCCTTTATTCACAATTTAAGTGAGTGCTGCAACAAGAGATAGATTAAATTTAAACTATAAAGCACATTCTCTTTTCTAAGTCTGAAATTATTTAGGTGATGAGGGGAAAGCAGTTAAGAGCCCTAGTTTCTAAAGCCACAAATAACTTCATTCCATTAAATCGTTCACATGAATTTAGTTTATGGAAAATCTGTGCTTGTCCCAGTCATTGTGCTCCTTCTGAAAAGACAGTACAGGCATACCTCATTTTTTTGTGCTTCACTGTCTTGTGCTTCGCAGATAGTGTGTTTTTTACACAGTGAGGGTTTGTGGTACTCTGAGTTGAGCAACCCTATTGGAATAATTTTTCCAACATCTGCTCTCTTTGTATCTCTGTCATATTTTGGTAATTCTCACAGTATTGCAAGTTTCTCATTATTATTATATTTGTTATGGGTGATCGCTGATCAGTAATTATGATTCAGTGAAAGCTCAAATGATGGCTAGCATTTTTTAACAAAGTATTTTTAAAGTACGTGCCTTGTTTTTTGTAGACATAATCTCATTGCACACTATAGAGACTATAGTAGAAATAAAATTTTCATATGCACTGGAAAACCAAACATTTTCAATTAACTCTCTTGATTGTGAAAGTCATTTTATTGTTGTGGTCTGGAACCAAAGCTGTAGTATCTCTGAGGTATGTTTATACAAACTCGTAATGGATTTGACAAGTAGTGCTTCCTGGCTAAGTATTTTTCTTAAAACATTCAGAGCTGATTTTTTTTTATATTACAAATGTAATATATTACAGATCCTTTATGTAGAAAATTCATACAGTCATACTAAATAAGATAAAAATCTTCTCTATTTCTAGCTCCTGTCTTCTGAGTAATAAGAAACAATTCCAGTTGTTGGCTTGAATATGGAAGATCTTTACTAATATAAAATATTTGAGACTAATATTCTATGCATTTAGTTATCAGCTCAGTCTATAAGTAATAGAAAGCATTTCCATTTGGTTTGGAATGTATTTCTGGTTTCCACATGGTCCTGCTTCTTCAGCCGCCTCAAAGTGGTTTGCTTATATTTGCTAGTCCCCATGGCTCTTCCTGTGAAGAGAGGGAAATGGGAAACCCTAATTCCTGTTCACTTGATTCAACATCTACTATTACATTCTATTTTAAAGCTCTCCCCTGACAGGACCTTCTCACTCATTCTTAGCTGCCTTTAAATGTGCTCTTCTTACAGCAGGACACACTCCCTGGGGTCTTCTTGTGGATAACTCTTTAGTTTTCCATTCTCACTTAGGAACCTTCTTCGTGAAAATCATTTCCTAGTGCTCTGAGTTTGAGGTGACTTTCCTATCCACTGTCTTAGTTCCCTGTGCTCACCACTGGCATGGCCTTAACGCACTGTGATAGAATATTATCCAGCTCCCTGCTACCCTAACTGAACTTTGAGCTGGTAGGAACCATGCTTTTCATCTGTGTTCCAAGGATCCTCGCCATCTCCTGGCACATGGAAGTCAGTGGATATGTGAACGAGTGAACACATCAGCAATATTTTGGCAGTCACTCTCCTGCAAGAGAAAACAGAATGGAATATACTTCTTACAGTCTAAATGGTTCTGACTAAATATAATGGTTATTTTGGTAGCAGAAAGCACTGTTGTTCTGAAAAATGCAAGGCTGTGAGGTAACTTATTTTATTCTTTCATTTATCACTGTAAGATGATTAATTGCAACAAATTCATAAAAAAATTCTCAATATTTTGAATTCAGCTACTGATCTATAGAATGAAAATACTCTTGATTCATTAATCTAACAAATGTTTATTGAATGCCAACAATGTACCAGGCACTATTTTATGGGAGTATAAAACATCAGGGAATAAAACAGACAGAAGTTTACTCTTTGGAGTTTACATTCTAGTGGTGGCAGGCAAACAATAAACAGGATTAATACATTAAGATAGAGTATATTAGGTGTTGGTAAGTACTATGGAAAGAATAGTAAGAATAAGAGAGTGGTAGGTGATGTGGTGGTGGTGGTGGTGGTGGTGGGATCAGGTAGAGGAGAAAGGCAGTTCATCTTAGGTCATTATAAGAGTTTTACCTTTTCCTGGAAGTGAGCTGGAAAGCGTTTGGAGGGCTGTGAGCTGAGGATTGAATGATTTGACTTTGTCTTTAATGACTTGATTTCTTTGTAGAACAGTGCCATACGCTGGAACTCTGTGATGCAAATGTTCTATAATCTGTGCCGTCCAGTATAGTAGCTTCTAGTCACATATGGCTATTGAGTGCTTGAAATGTGGCTAGTGCAACTGAGCAGTTGAATTTTTAATTTGAATTTATATTTAAACAGCCACATGTAGCAAGTTTTTATTGTATTGGACAGCACAGACACAGAGGAAAGACTGAAGGGAAACCTAATGTTATTTATATTAATTACCTTGTGTATATAATGTAGACGTTCAAAGTTCAGTAAATGTTTCCATTCATTAATTTAACTTGCATTTTTTTAGCACTTCACATAGGCCAGGTTCTGTCCTAGGTATTGTGTGGAATTCAAAATCTATTAGATGTAGGTCTTGCCTTAAAGAGATTCACAAAATAATAAGAGTGATGAGACACATACACAAGTAGTAACACAAGATAGTCTACCATAAGGCAATGGTTGGTAGTTGGCCACAGGAGAGAGAGAATGATGTCCAGGCTTCCTGGGAGACATGGCATCTGGCTGCATCTGAGAGGCATTCAATGCAAGCAGCACATCATACGCATTGGAATAAATATGGGCATGCCCATGGGTAACTCATAGTCCAAGATCTGTAAGCAGGAGTGGAAGATAAGGCTGGAAAGGAAATCCTTGGCAACAGTATATATTTTGTGAATATTCTTCATTAAAAATATCCTAAGATTTCCCATGACATTCAGTGCCTTTGTCTTCAAAATCCTCTGTTGTCCTCAGCTAAATGCCAATATATATCAATTAGTTGCATAGATCCTATACATCAATTAGGCTGCATAGCCTATATGCATTTTCAAGTTGAAAGCTGTTAACAAGCTGTATAAAACCTGTTTTTATACATTAATTAAATATGTAATTTCTTTTCCAGGTAGACTACTATGATTTTTTAATTCTAGACATTTTACCATCAAAATTAAAATGAAATACATAAAATTTATTTGTTTCACTCCTCATAATTGTGAGTAGAAAAAATTAGGAAAAAATGCGGGAAATTTTAAATTACGCTTACTTATCATTATAGAGAAAAGCTGACTAAAATGTACCTATTAGCGCTCATTTATCTAGAAGTTGGAAGATAAATCACTTATTTGACTTTTAACTTTCATATGTATTATGTTTCTCTTAAGAAGATTTTGCATACAGCTGTTGATATATCTCAATATAATACACACTACACCATACCTTTAAATTTAGAAAGAAAGAAAGAACTTTGCTATCCCTTTTTTTGTTAGGGAGAGGATTAATTAAAATCCTTAAAGTGGGCTTTTAAATTAATTGCCTAAATGCTAATTTAGTTTTATCAACCACACGTTATCATTTGATTTTATTAACCTACACTGTTAAATAAATGAATCTAGACATTTTTCAACTGAAGGAAATGTATTCATCACAAGACGTTTATGTAGATCATTCTACATGTTTAGTGTTGTTGGGAATTTGTGTCTCTTAAGAGAAGATAGGCCTAGATGTTGAATGGGAGCAACAGGGAGAAGGAAACAGACCGCACAAGGCCAGACTCTCCCAAATCACCAGGACTTCTGTTCTTGCTCACTTCCTTCCCTGCTCGACAAGCCCGCTTATGCCCCAACCCTCAGAAGCATCACATTACAGTTTAACAGAAGCAGTTCACAGGATGCCAGCTCCCCTGACTTCTGAATAATCCCGAGACCCCCTGTGCCACAGATAAAACACAAAAATAAATCTGCCTAGCTCCCATGATTTTAGTCTCCTAAACTCAATTAAGTTGAGCCTGATAGGGTTTTGTCAGTCAAATAGTGAGCTCTATGTAGATTCAAATTCAACTTAGGGTGCCTACGTTTGTTACTGATTTTCTTTTTCAGGAACAAAAACAACTGCTGCTGTTTTCCATTTTTCAGCTTCCTTGTAAAGGTATTTCTTATTGAAACCAAACTCTTATTTCTGAAATTCCTAGACCACTATCTATCATGCGATTCAAGTCTATTATCCAAATGGTTGAGTGCCAGAAAATCCGAAGCTGCTTGTTTTGGTTGCTGATTTTCTCTAGCATTCTTTGGAGGATTTGAAGTAACGTGGAAGGGCAAAAAAAAAAAATACTGACCTAAGAGCTAAACGTGAAAAGGGGATTAGGACAATCTTTAATGTAATTATGCAAACAGTCTCAGAACTGTAATGCTTACCTTTATAAATGTTATAGTATATATACCTTTTCTTTTATTGACCCTGCAGTTTGGATTTTACTAAAGAGCATTTATTGCTAAAGATTCAAACAGTTCTTACTAAGCACATCGTGCAGTTTACATTTGGACCTTTGGCACGGTGAACAGACCATTCTTGGGGAGTGCCCAGCTGAATGTTTGGGTGAGGAGCTAGGGAAGTTATTCTCCTCAGAGGGCGGCATCTGGCTCCCTGGCAGATCCTATGTGCACTTCTGTTAATGGGCTTAAATTTATCTGGAAGTCTTTTATGTGGTTACATTGCAAATGGACTGTCTGCATAGTCATGTCCTCCTGGATGATTTGTGTGGAGCTTTTTTTAAAAAAAAAAACATATCTTTGTCTGGTTTCTAGAATGTAGACATAAGATTGAATGGATATCAGCAGGGAAAAAAAAGCATTCTTACAAAGGCAATCTAGTATAATGGAAGGGAATGTAGATTTTAGAGCCAGACTAAATGTGAAACCTGAATTTACCATTTGCTGACTGTTAGGCCTTGGATAAGTTACATAACCTCTTAGTGCCTCAGTTTCCCTATCCAAAGAGAAGGTGATCATAACAGTGCTTATGGCGTAAGTTTCTGAGGTTGTCCCCCCACCCCGGCATACACTGAGCACTCAGTGAGTGTTTGGCATGGTGGAATGTCTCTCTGTAGTGTTCATCAGACTAGAGCATGTATGTGATTTAGGATTAAATCCAGGTTTAACTATCCAGTGGTGTAAGGCTATTTCTTATTTTTCGTGGAACTTATGAAGATGTGTGGTCATTTTTAGTGGAGAGTAACTTCAATTCCTTTTTAAGTAGTAAAAAAAAAGTTCACCTTCCACTAACTAGACTTTGATCTTGCAAAACCCCTGTTCCAATCTGGATTTTATTTTAAGTGAAAATGAAGTTGGTGAGTCAGTGGTCCTGGGTCAGTAGCTTCCATATTACATGGAAAAGAGTTGGGTTTTGACAGGCAAAGAAGACATTTGAGGCTAGATTGGCAAAATAATTTGGAAGTATTTCTGCTCAACCAAAATTAAAGCATTGAAATTTATATTCACTTCTTTCAGGGCTATTCAAATGGACTTTAAGAAAATAAAGAAGTCTATTAAGCTTTTGAAACACTTCAAGTACAGTTACACCTGTGCATGTCTATGAAAAATTTAACATAGGAAATTTACCTAAGGAACATAATACTTGGCATCCTGGAAAGCTTCCTACTGAATGTGATACGAATAAAATGCTCATGTAAAAAATATTTTTAAAGATAGGAATGTGTTATTGTGTTTCTTAAATACAAATTACATGCTGCTTTTTCTCCAACTGAGATTTAAACTTTTGAGTGAACGGCAATGTACAAGGACCAGGGGAGAAAGAAAACATATTTGAGAAAGTATTATTTCAGTTGGTATAAATCCAGCTTAATTAAGGGCTTTGGGTAATTACTATTCAGGTCACAAATTTTCAAAAATGTACCACTAACATAAAAATCAGCACCTTCTTCCAAAAGTAAAATTACAATTTCTCTATGAAGGAGCTCCTTCTAGAAAAAAAAATCTTCATATTTTTTCTTTAAAGTAAGATCTTAATTTCTTCTATCAATCAGGAACCTTACCTTCCTTCTTGAAGGCTCCCTACTCTCTCAAGCAGCCGCATAGTCCCTCCTATTGACCTGGCTTTCCTCCCCTCCTGTGGGCTCCCTGCAGTCCACTTCAAACAGGGTTCTGGTTCCCCAGTGGGCCAGTTAACTGATTACCCCCAGCTGTTGATTCACCCTTGGCATTGCTGGGTTTTGCCTCCTTCAGCCTTGAGTCCTGGGGGAAGGGAAAGGGAGTTGAAGGAGATCAAAGTAGCAGTGTTCTGGTTGGAGCATAAGCGGTGGGGTTAAACCCTCAGTCCTGTCTTCTGATTCTCCCTCCCCTTCTTCCACCACTGCTGGACCTTCTGCTCTCCTGCACCTAAATCAGGAGACCGAATGGGGTGTGGGGCTAAACCTTAAACTATGCAGTTAGAAGTTGTTATTTATTTTAACTTAGAATGTAAGCAGCCAAAGGTTTAATGATGAATGATGTTTATTTAATTGTATAGTACACTTACAGAAATAGAAGATAGCAGGTGAGATCTTGATGTTTGTTTCACTCAGTATTTTTTGATTATATACTATGTTCTCTGCAAGGTACTCCAGGGGAAAGTTAAGATGAGTAAAACTACACCCTGCCCTCAGGCAGCTCAGAGTCATGTAGTTAAAAAAATTATTGTGGAGTAGAACACAATTGTTAACTTGCATTGCGAGAAAAATACAAAACTCTGTGAAAAAAGGAAACAGTGTAACACCAGCATAAATTTTTTATCTGTAATCAACAAAATATTGCATCCTGTCTTTAGAAAATCTAGGAAACATAAAATGTATTAAAAGAGAACCAAAATCAGTCACCCTAGAGATAAGCACACTTTGGTACATATATTTTATGTCAATTTGAAATAATACTGTATATAATCACATTTTCTATCTTGCTTTTTAAAAAATAACTCTATATTATTAACATTTTACCATGTAATTGAAAATCATTTGCATACTTATAACATCATAGGATATAACAGTTTATGTAATAATTTTCCCATTTGGGGACATTTCTGTTCCCTTCAAAGTTTCCCCTCTTATAAATAATTCATTGAATATATTTATGCATAAGTCTCCTCATATTTCTGATTTTCTTAGAATGAACTTCTAAAAGTGGAATTCTAAGTCAAAGGCCATGCATATTTTAAAGCTCTTGAAACATTTTGCCAGACAGCTTTCCACCAAGTTGGTGCCGTTTTAAAGTCAAACCACAGGGCATAGAAATTCTTATCGTAGGCGTGCCAGAATTACGAATTACGGTTTTGTTTTTTTCTTTTAACTATAGCTTTTGCTATTTTGATAAGTAAAACTGGTATGTATTTTTCCTCTGGGGCAGTTTCAAAATTTAGTTTTGAAGTGAAATATACATATGAAAATGTGCATGTAATATGAATGTGCAGAACTGGACACCCCCATGTAATCAGCACCCAGAATGGACAAGAAAAAGACCAGCTCCTTGCAGTCCTCCTCATGCTCCTTTCCCAGTCTCCTCCTTTTTTTCTGACGCTTAACATCACAGCTTAGTATTACCTCGTATTTTTTTGTTGTTGCATGGTGGAATTATATGTGTTATGAGTACATTTTTGTGTGTCTGGCTTTTTTTGCTTAGCTTTGTAAAATTCATCTATATCGCTATGTTCAGTTGCATATTTATTTTAGTCCCCATTGATTTCTGCTAAGTGACCCTAGTATTGTATGAGACCTCATTTATGCATCCAGTCTCCTGACCTAGTCTGTCACCTCCAGCTGTTCTTCACTTTCTGTCTGGCTGAGGTTTCGTGGCTCAGCTTTTCAACCACCATCCTGCCAGTAGTCTCAGCTTCCTCACTCTTCTCTTTATCATACCCTTCGGCAAATTCAAAACTGCTTGCCCTGTCTGCTCACACGCTCCAGGCTTCTGAGTCATTTAAAATTTAATTTATATATTAGAGCATAGACTAACAAAGAAATCTATGAACACTCAAACTAAAAAAGATCGATGTTCTTCTTTCATATGAATCAAAACAAAAGGTCGGTTTGGTTCCACTTTCCCCTTCACTTGGCTTCCCCTGGTGGGTCCACTGTGGTTGCTCTGGCTCCCTACAGCTCCCAGTAACCAGAAGGGGTAAGAATAAGGAGGAAAAACCCAAGTGGGCTTTTGCACTCACTCCCATTAGCTAGAATGAACTGTTTGCTGACCTACATGTAAGATAGATTGTGGAATACAGAATTAGGTTTGAGTGGCAGAATTAGCTGTAGGGTTCTGACAATTAAGACCTTATTTATTACAAAGGAAAAAGGGAATCACAAAATATCAGGGCAACTACAAGTATGCCAGAAGACTCCACCAATTGTGTGTCCTTCATTCTCAATGAGACCCTTAATCATGCTTGGTTATTTTTCTAACTTTCACAAACAGCTAACTCTCCTTGTACTTTCTGGTGTTTATTTTAAACCTTCTTCACTCTCCTTAAGCTTACTCCACATGATCTTCCTCCTAAATTCCCACATGTGAACATGTTGCCTCCTACCTCGCAGTTCATTTAAAACTGCAGGCCAGGAATTTCCTTTTCCTCCCTTATTTGTACCTTCAAACGTCTTTCTTTGCCTGTTACCTGTGATACTCTGACACAATGTATTTCATCCAGTCCAAGGCCAATTCTGCCCATATATGTTCTCGATCCCCTTCCATTTTAGAGGTCTTAATAACTTCTGGTGTTAGTCCAGTGATTCTTTGCTAACTATCCTGAAACCACACCCTCCTGGCTTTCTTGTCATCTCTTGATCCTTTCATTTCTGATGTCTCTTTCGTATTCCTCTTTTCTGCCCATCTCTTAAATAAAGGTGCTTCCCAGAATACCATCACATTTATCTTCTCACATCCTACTGTTTTTTTAGGTGACTGGACCTCTTCCGTACACGGAGCTTGATCATTCCGTATATGCTGATGAATCTCAAATCTGTTGCCAGCACAGATGTCTCCCTCAGGCTTCCAGTTGACTGCTGGATATCTCATATGTGCATGTCCCTTGGGCACGTTAATCTCAACATGTCCAAAATGTAACTCATATGCACCTCCAAAATGTCTTCTCTTTGCTTCTGATCTTAATGAATAGTGCCTTCTTTATCACAGAGATCTGAATGGCCATCCTTGATTCTTTTCTCATGCTCTGTCCTCATATTTAATCAATCATTTTACTAGAAAAATCCATCTTTCTAGAATTTCTGGAGTCGAATGACTTTTATTGCTCTCTACTATTACTACCCTACTTCATACCCATAATCTGTCACCTAATAAGCAGAGTCCCATGATAATTTCCCTGCATCTGATTTTCTCTTCTAGTTCATTTTTTACATGTTAGCTAGAATGAGTTCTACAAAATACAAATAGAATTAAGTAATTTCCCTGCTTAAAACTTAGGTGGTTCTCTACCTCCTGCAGTACTAATCCACCAGACATTGGGGTCCTTCCTGATCTGGTGCCTGTTTCTTGTTCCTCCTCCCCACCCCCCACCCCACCCATATATTCTTCAGGCTCTCCATGCTCATTCCCATGTCTGCGCTTCTACATGTGCTTTCATTCTGAATGTATTGCCCTACTTCCCTTTGTTTAGCTCCTGTTTAGATTTTAGAGTGTAGCTTATGGTTTTCTCTCCTAAGAACCTTTCTCTCATCAGCCCCCTCCTAGGATTGGTGGAAAATCCCTCTCATATATTCCCAAGTGATTGTATGCTTGCTGTTATTGTCATTTAAACTGTAATTTACTGTGTTGTAATTTATTTGTCTGTATGCCTACTAGAATTTGAGCTTCTTGAGGGCAGAAACTCCATCTTATTCCTCTCTCTATCTGTAGATGATATTCAAAAAGTTTAACACCAGATACAGCACTAGCATAGGTTCGATAAACAGGAGGCCAGTCCCCTTGCTGAGCCAGCTTCTAGCTCCTCAGTTCACTGGGCTCCACCTGGGCTCCTCTCCTGCACCGTGGCCTGAAAGATTCTCCAGAGACTAAGCTGGAGGACTCACCCAATTTGTCTTCCATCTCTCAGGCATCACTGTTTCGTGTTGCCTCATGTTCAGTGTGTTGAGAACCATTGTTTCATATATTTTCTTTGTTTTTAAGTTGTTTCAGATGAGAGGGCAAATGAGCTCCCCTTTACTCTATCTTTACTCTAAAAGCAAAAGTTACATCATGTGTTTTTATGTATTTGATGTGGGTTTAGGAAGTGGATGTTAATGGAGGACCTACACCTCAGTAAATTAGGCTTCAGGTAGAATTTCAACATAATATAGAAAAGATAAAACATTATGCATATCTTTTTTAAAAATTAAAGTATCATTGATACACAATTTTTTTTTTGGTATCATTCATCTACAATTACATGAAGAACATTATGTTTCCTAGGCTCCCTCTTTCACCAAATCCCCCCCACATACCCCTTCATAGTCACTGTCCATCTGTGTAGTAAGATGTGTAAAATCACTGCTTGTCTTCCCTGCATTGATACACAATTTTATGAGGGTATCACATGAACAACACTGTGATTTCAAAATTCACCCATATTATCAAGTCCTCAGCCCCCAACTGCAGTCACTGTCTATCAGCATAATAAGATGCTCTAGAATCCGTTCTTATCTTCTCCATGCTATACTGCCTTCCCCGTGACCTACCTATATTGTGATTGCAAATTATAGTGCCCCTTAATCCCCTTCTCCTTCTCTCCCTCCCCTTCGGTAACTGCTAGTCCCTTCTTGGAGTCTGTGAGTGTGCTGATGTTTCTTCAGTTTTGTTTTGTTGTTATACTCCACAAATGAGTGAAATAATTTGATATTTGTCTTTCTCTGCCTGGCTTATTTCAATGAGCATAATATTCTCTAGCTCCATCCATGCTGTAGCAAATGGTAGGATTTGTTTTCTTCTTATGACTGAATAATATTCCATTGTGTATATGTACCATATCTTCTTTATCCATTCATCTACTGATGGACACTTAGGTTGCTTCCATATCTTGGCTATTGTAAACAGTGCTGTGATAAACATAGGGGTGCATATGTCTTTTTGAATCTGAATCTTGTGTTCATTGGGTAAATTCTTAGGAGTGGAATTCCTGGGTCAAATGGTATTTCTATTTTTAGTTTTTTGAGGAACCTCCATATTGCTTTCCACAATGATTGAACTAATTTACATTCCCACCAACAGTGTAGGAGGGTCCCCCTTTCTCCGCATCCTCGCCAGCATTTGTTGTTCCTTGTTGGCCATCCTAACTGTATGAGATGATGTCTTATTGTGATTTTAGTTTGCATTTCCCTGATGATTAATGATGTGGGACATCTTTTCATGTGCCTGTTGGCCATCTGAATTTCTTCTTTGGAGAAGTGTCTGTTCAGATCCTCTGCCCATTTTTAATTGTGTTATTTGTTTTTTGGAGTTGAGGTGAGTGAGTTCTTCAGTTATATTTTGGATGTTAACTCCTTATTGGATAAGTCATTTATGAATATATTCTCCCATATTGTGCTTATCTTATATTGCATTCATATAGATAAGGAAAACAATAGGTACATGACAAGTTACTCACCTATATTTTTGCATCAAGTCAGACTTTTGCATTGAGATAAAGTCTTCATTCATATCTGACTACTGTAGCCTGCTTGGCAAAAAAATTAGTAGACCCACATTCCTTTAAGTGAAATTGCACATTCCATTTATGTCCCTCTACACCTTACATACACATGAATGGGTGAGTAGGGCAAAGCCCCATCTCCTTATAACATCAACCTAGTCACAAAATGAATGCGAATGGTGAGGCCAGCGCCTTGTATAGTGACGCCACTGTGGGGGCCTGGGTGGACTTAGGGGCTTTATTCACATGTGCTGCTCATGTGGAGCAGAGCAAAGCTTCTGTTCATAAAATGGCAGTTTGTCATCATTGTTTCTGTTCTGGTCATTATTTAATTTGGGATGGTTCCCTTGATGATAGATTTTTGCAATAATGTTTTTGATGTATTATTTGAATAGTAAATTAAATTAAGAATATTAGAGTTGGAAGGAAGCCAGAAATCACTGAGAGCAAATCTACTCAGTTCACAGAGGGGAACGGAGGCCAGAAAGGCTAAGTGATCTGTCTCACATTTGGGTCAAGTTTGAAACAGAACCATGGCTAGACATTAACTTCTTGGCTCACACTTCAGTTCTCTTTCCACTGCACTCTCTGAGCTCTCTGATACCTAAACGGGAAGGAAGACTATCTTCTAGGTAGATTCATCTATTACTCGAATAGGAATGAAGGTTGGAGCAAGAAGTTCTGAGTAGTATTCAGACCTGAGGCAGAATGAGGGCTTGGAATAGGGTGCAATAAGTGCGAATAAGAGATAAGAGGTGAATACGAGGCTTGTTTTCAAGATAAACCCATAGGCTTGTGATGAATTGGTTAATGCATGGTATTTGTATATAGTAGACAGAATATATATGTTGTGGAATGTTGCAGGAAAGAGAGAATATATGCATGTGTGTGTATAGATATGAAGGAATGAGAGAAAATATATGCATGTGTGTGTATACATATACACACACACACAGCCCTCATACATGTCACAGGTACACTCTGTATTGAATATCCATAACCAGGCATATTACAAATGAAAAACAAGCAATAACCAAAAAAATGATTTATTCCTTGAATCTTTATAATAATAAAATGAAATATTGTTCCCACTTCATAGAAATAAGGCTCAGAGAGGTTAAATGTTTGCCTAAAATCATGAATTTGTTGAGGAGCTGAGCTGGGACTTGAAAATTTTCTTAAAGTCTGAATCTTTCCACAGGGGGCTTTTTAATTACCCAGAACATACAAAGAATATTTCTATTTTCTTCTGCCATGACTGATCTATAAAGCTGATATGTCATTCTACCCTTTATTGTGTGCAGCACAAAGTGTTCCTGCTCAGACAACAGACACCCCACCTCCTCTTCCCAGATTTTCCAGATTTGTTTGCCCTTTTTGTTTTCTTGTGTTCAAGAGTTAACCCCATGATGTTTAAAAATGTGCTACTACTTTGTAGCATGAGTTTTGCTTGCGGTCTTTAGTTTTTGTATTTTACCCTTTAATCCTTCAGTGGTTGGGGAAAGCAATGTACATTTTGATCCTGTGTCCTACCCAGGAAAAATCTGTAAAGTTCATGTGGTTGTTGACTCATTTCTAGGACTTTATTCACAAGAGATTGACTCGCTAGGGTGGTGCCTGAATAACAGCTCACATTTTTCACAAAGCAGATATGACAGCTGTGGCTGATCTCTGGGCTTTGTTATGTATATGCTAGACTGTTAGACGTCTTGTAAATCTCTTTTCCCCCACAGTGAGCACAACACCTTTCATTTTCTAATTGCTCAAGAATATTTGTTGAGCCCATGATTAATGAAAGTTATTATTGTCATTATACTGCGGACTTTCTTTCTATGACATATATACACATGCATTTTATACACACACAAATTAAGCTATCCATAAATTATACACATAATTAATAAGATAGTGCACAGATAAGATGTATGATGCCTGAAACATGAACGTAAGGTTTTGTTCAACTTTCTGTTTTCTACAGATTAGTTGAGGAGATGGTATTAACACTAAGATAACTCCGTAAAAGATTGACCAAATAAATACAATCAGGGTCTAAAGATAAATTAAGATTTTATAAAGTTTACAATTTTGGCATTTCCAGGTTAGAATCATCTATACTGCTTTCTTTGATATATTGAAAATAAAAGAAATAATTAACTTATAAGCAATAATTTCCAAATTGATGATAACTTATTGCCATGGCATTCTTTTCTTTTTGTTGATAAGTGTAAATAGAGTGATACAATTCCCTGCTGTTTCTTGGCTCTGGGCCACTGGTAGGCTGCCTAATCAGATCCACTTATAGGACATGGGATGGTCTTTTCCTCTTGTTATAGAGGGTGGAATTATGCAATACTATTTTAATATTCCTTCCAGCAGTTCCTCAAGTTCTTTAATTACTGATGTGATTTCAGTAAATACGGACTTAGCACAGCCTTACAAATGAAGAAGGGATAGAGTCTGAGAGAAGTTTCCAGTAGTATGATTTCCACTTACATAAACTCATGAACCAGTGCATCAATCAGCTTCACACCTTGCAACAGTTAAAGCATGTGATTGCCCACATGTTGTTGGTCCTGTATCAAAATGGAAATATTTAGTTTGCATGCAGAGTTGCTTTACATGATTTATCAAAGTACTTCCTTTTTGTTCTGTTTCTATCCTTCACAAGTTGTCAGTGGTTTATATCTTGGGACCCCTCAGGACACATCTTATTTGTATGTCATCACTGAACCTAAATTTATCATACATTGCTTGGTATTGTCTTTTTATGTGTGATTGTTATGGTGTCTTTTAATGGTGTGTCTTCCTAACTAAATTGTAAGCTCCTGCAGAAAATGAATTCTAGCTTATAAAACTTGGTATCCCAAAGGTGTGCCTGAGATGAAGTAGATTTCAGGTAAATATTTGTGAATCAATAAGATAACTTCATCCTGTATGAAAATAACTCAGAAATGGAAGACAACAGGCAAATACAACACAAATACTGTTTCCTCTATGTGCACTCCTGTCCATGGGAAAAGAAAAATCAGACAAACCAAAACATCATACTACCCAAAAGAAAAATATTTCTGTGCACTTAAGAAGGAGTATGACACTCCAACAGTATAGTGGTCATGATAGTTGATCTCATTGTGCAGAACAAATACTACATCTACTTCATCTTGTATATAGAGTGCCTAGCACAGTGCCAAGAATGCAAAGGGCATCAAAGAAAGACAATTATGAATGAATGAATGAATGAATGAATGAATGAATGAATTGCCTCACATCTGAAACATCAGAAGAGACAGTTCATATCATTGCCCCTGTGTAATGTGTATGCTGAGAAAATAATGTCAATGTAAAGATCAGGAACATTTTCTGAGGTGACCTGCCGGAGTGGAGAAGCTGTATGGATGTAGTTGGGCAAGTGACTACAAAAGAAAGCTCTAACAAGATCTGTTTTTCTTGTCTCTGGAATGTGACCAAAAAGCTATCCATGACTTATATGTAGGAATTTCCCATAATTAAAGAGACATTCTTTTGGGGGGTAATCAGCTTCATGCATGCATTCATATTATTAAGTTCTTGAACATTTATTCAGCATCCCTTCTGGGTAGAAGTGATAACATATTGATAAACACCCCAGAGCTAGGTAAAGACTATAGAAAGAAAGGGAACTTTGTAAATATTAGATCTCCCTCCTGATTATTATTTTTTCCATGCATACAACATACAGTTTGAAAAGCATCTTCCCAAACATGTGTTCTATCATCTTTACTCCTTCCTCCTTATTAGGCAGGACAAGAACAATTTTCCTGGTTCTATACATGAGCAAATGAGGTGCAGTAGAGTCTAAGGAATGTCAGTCCCCTGGGAAAGAGTGGAGAGAGGTCTGCAGTCTTGGCTTGCCAGACATGCCATTCTTCCTTCCAGGCCACTTGAACTTTTAAAACAGGACTCTGAAAGTGTGTGCTTGAGTTTACCTTTTGTTAAAACAATGTCTGAAGGAGGGACACACTTGATGACTTTGGGAACTTTAACACTTGTGTAAGCAAGAGAAAACTCAGCTCTGCCAAACTTGTGGTGTGCCCATAGGTGACGATAAGCTGAAAAGCCAGACTTGCAACATTTTGAGCCATGCACAAAGGCTAGTTAATGGTAGTGATGGCCTGAGCCTATGGAATCTGACAAGCAGCTTTCCAAACTCTGACCACTCAATTTAATGCAAAATGAGTGGACCGTGTAGTGGTTCAAGAAATAGCTGCATACTTCATACAGAATAAGCCACCATTTCCCAGGCTTTTATCTGCCTCACTTTTCTTCTCTCTCACTGCTGTTCCTGCTCCTAACCTCGAAGTCAAATTTCTGGGCAGAAAGGAGATGGAGACACCGTTTAAAAATCCCCCTTACCTACTTCTTCCCTCCATTTGGCTCATTCATACACTGTACCGCCTCTTCAATGAAGACAAGGCTAAAGACAGCCCAGCTATGCAAGAGGAGGTCTGGTGAGTCATCTGCCATTCCTTCAGGCAGATGCTCAGGGCAGAAAGAGCAGCTGCTGCTCCTACCACATGCTGATTGTAATTGCACCTGGAGGTGTATTCCAACATAAATGTCATCCAAATTACTTAGCTCTCCTATCCAAGAATTCTTATAAGAACCCAGGAAGAAGAGCTGCTCAGACTGCCAGCACATTAATCCAAACATGCCAAGGAGTCTAAATAAATCAAGTAACATCTCATTGGGAGAAGGTTTAATATACTGACCTTGTGGTAAGCCACAATGTTTTGAATTTATTCCACATGCCTAAAATTTGGTTACAATAGGTTTTATTTAGCATGGATTCTCAGGAGTAGCCTAGACATTCTTCATGTTGGTGTCTTTGTATTTAGGCCATATTTCTCTGGGTGTCCCCAAAGCTCTATCTCACTTTGAGGTGACACTGGGAGTAACAGAATTGCAAAATCTAGCATTTTCTGAAATTCGGCATCATGTTATGGGAAGAGATTGCAACCATATGAATCTATTGTTTTACTTAACAGCTAAATTAGAGCAAAAGCAGCTCAGCCTTAGATGCTTTCACGTGAGAACAATTCACATTATCAAAAGCTGAGCCATTTATGTTATCAGTTTAGCCAGGACATTTTCCTAGTGCCCATAAATTCATAGAGGGAAGCCTCTGCCAACCTTAATTACCTCTGTAACAACTGAACAATTCACTATTTTCCATTATAATGGGGTTTAAAGGTACCATATATCTACAAGGCTCTGTTTTTGTCTACTTATTTCTTATATAAAATATGTAATAATTTTGGTACCAGTCCTTTGGGTTTGAAAGGGAGTAAAACTCTAAAAACATTTTTTTCCAATTGAAAACATTTGTACCCACCCCTTATCTATATGAGCTCTTAACATCAGTTTATATCCACTTTGGATCATAAAAATAAATGGTACAGATACTGCTTGAAGATCCATGCGTACTCTGAGATACCTTTCCCCTCTCTCCTTGAGAAAGCACTGTCCTGAATTTAAGTTACCATGAATGAGTTATACTTGGATTTTTCTCAATAAATATATTGGAAATTTTTTGGAGAGCTAGAACCATTTGAAAAAATATTTTCTCTATTTTATTGTAAGAATACAGTATGTAATATACATAATGTACAAAATATGTGTTAATGGACTGTTTATGTGATCAGTAAGGCTTCTGGTCAACAGTAGAGTATTAATAGTTAAGTTTGGGCGGAGTCAAAAGTTATACATGTGTTTTTGACTGCACAGGTGTTCAAATCTAACCACTGTGTTGTTCAAGGGTCAACCATATAATCTATGCATTCTTTTCTAGATGGACATTTAAATTGTTTCTAATTGTTTAATTTACAAACACACAATGTTATGGAATAAAATAACTCCAACTTTTGGCGTTGAAATGCAAGAGAGGAATTAGGGGGCATAGTGCATGGCGCTTGCTGTACCAGCACAAATGACATTAGCACATCAGCATTTATCCCATACTGCAAGTACTAATAACAGTGTCTTAAAGTTTGTGCACATTCAAGAAAAATATTTTGTGACACTAAATACCTAAAACATCTCAAGAAAACATTAGTACCTACACATTACACAATTAATACACGGTCTCTCTTGCTCCTATTCACTTTGCTGTCTTTTGGATGTTTACTTACCTCCAGCCAGAAGGCCCTTGGAATTGCTGCTTCTCTTGGGGGTGGCCCTGTAAGGGCTTTGATACCTTTCTTGGGTGTTCACTTGATACTGCGGCCTCTCCCTCCACACCGTGCCCACTGTCGGACTGTTCCCATCCCAGAGAAGAGAAGAGTCTTCTTCAGGGCACTTCTGATCCCTGCTCAGCCCTGTTTTTTGGAGGGACTAGGTAGGCATGGGGTGGGGAGTCTGTATGGGAAAGAGAAAGGGAGCTGTTAAGAGGTAAAAAGTGTCCAGGAGTGGTCAAGTGACTGGCACGTTTACGAGGAGGCTCCCAGGGAGCAGAATGGGGAGGAAAAGAGGAAGGAGAGAAGGAGTTGAGGGAGGGATGAGCTAAGCTTTGAAGTCTGAAATATCAGTATTTACACAAAATACATGTACAAAATGTCTGCCACTACTTTAAAATAGCACCAATTACTAGGATCATGGAAAATTGAAAACTGGTTCTGCAATCATTAACAGCGTAAATACATTTGCAACTCTACTAGATACTGCAATATTTCTTTCAAATTAGTTATACCAATTTACATTCCATCAAAAGTGTGAGAATTGCCCTTTTGCCACATGCTGGCTTTCATTTGACCTTATCTGATTTTGTAATGTTTGCCAATTTTGTGGGTTTAATACAGTACTTCATTGTTTAAAATTGCAGTCCATGATTATTAGAAGAGCAGTTGAGTACCTGGCTGATGCAGTTTTTATAAGTTTTACAATTTTTAAAATGAATTTTATTGAAAAATTAATATGATTTCATAGATGTGCATTGTAAAAGAGCAAAAGAAGAAAATTAAAATTAACCCTTAACCCACCATAGAGCTATACCTATTGTTCTATTTTTAAAAAACAGCTTTACTGAGGCATATTTAACTTGCATATTTAAACTGTTCAGTCAGATGTTTTGACATATGTAAATGAAAGTGAAGCCATCACAACAATCAAGATAGTCAACTTATCCATCACACCAAAAGTTACCCTTGCCCTTAATTATTTATTTTACTCCATTCAATTCCTCCCCACCCCATCTACTGGGAACCACAGATGTCCTTTGGTAATTATTTCAGATTCCTCCCGGGTGTACTGAGCAGCAGCAGTCTGTTGGGTGGTGGCACCAGTTTGTTTTTTTACCTCTTGATGGACATTTGTGCTGTTTCCAGTTATTTAATTGATGGGCCATGTAACCTTTTATAAAGGAAAACGTGTATGCCCATCAATTTTCTAATAAACAAAACATTGAACATGAAATACTCCTTGTTATAAATCAAAGCCTGAAACAGTGTCTGGCATGTATAGATGTCCAGTAATTATGTTGGGAAGACTAGATATCTACTGGCAAATCTCAAAAGTTAATTAGGGAAACAAAGCCAGCAAACCAGGAAGTTAAAGAGCACAGTCAATTGCACTGAACTGAAATGAGAAAGGTTCTCCTTTTATCGAAGTGTCAGGACGTCCACACTGCTTACCTGAAGTCCTTCCTTCAAAGCAGCACCTCACTCGCCCTTCACTGAAAACAGTCTCTTCCCCTTTGTTTTTCTTTTACTCTGTTCTTCTCCCAATCACTGAATTCAAAAGTTTAATTTTCTCTAAAATTTCCCTCTATGCACATCTAGCTTCCAGGTTCTGGCAGTTCAGACCCTACATAGCTGATCATATGTGGCCCCTGTCATGCATAAGTTTAGTCTCTACCCATCTGCCACCTCTGCATGTCCACAATGCCCCATCTTGTCTCCCTGACTTCACTTGCCCCCTCTCTAATTCAGCTTCCACACTGTCATCACACATTTTTCAAATATGTCATTTTGATCGTGCTGTTTTGTTGTTTCCAGTTCTCCATTTGCTCCTCCCTGCCTGCAGACTGTAATTCAGAGTCCTTAGCATGAAACTGCAGGAGCTCTGTGCTTGTCCTCCATCTGCTCCTTGACCTCTGTGAGGCAGAAATATTTCCTTACTAGCAGGTACCTGAACACACTATGCCATTTCCCACCTCCATGCCTTTGAATATACTTGTCCTTCATCTTCTGGACACCTTCACCAACTCTGATCAGCGGAAATAATTCAGAACTCAGTTTTGAAGACTTCTTTTATCTTTGCACACATGTGCACATGCCTTCCCACAAACCCCAGCAAAGCCTCTCACATCTCATCTATGTCAGCAATGTCCACAGCATGCCCTTGTCCTGTGCTGTCATTACCTCTTCCTTAGGCAGTATGTGGGGGCCTTTGCATCTAGGCACAGGTCTGATAGTTTTTCCCAGTTGGTGCTCAGTAAATACATTGGGTGCACAATAAGTATGAATGTAACTCAAATTGTGATGCTTAATACACATGAATCAATGAATGTATGCCTTAAATATCTGATCATTAAGTTATAATTTTCCTAACAAAATACTCTTAATGTCTTTCACTTGTTTTTGATCCTGTCCTCACCAAGTTAGTCAAAAACCATTTAGCTTCCTGCCTCAGTTGTACATCAACTCCCAAACCAGCCTATGTCAATACATTCTCCCTCTTTCCTAAACCATAGTAATGCAGATTAGCTAGACTATTCTACAATGACTACTTTAATTACAGTACTCTTGTACTCTTCTCTCAGAATCCACTGCCTGGCTCTCAAAAGCTCTACCCTAGTAATCAAACATTTTTCTCTTCTCCAACACACAGTCCCCATTTTAGTTAGCCTATTCTTCCCACTTCTCCATGCCACCTCTGTTCACACCAGTTTGTGCTCCAGGGCTCAAGTTTATCCTCTCACCAGAATGCCTGTTCTCTCACCTCCATCTGCCTGAAATCTACTAATAATGTCTGCCTTTCTGGGTTACACCTCTGTGGTTGAGCCACATCTCCCATGGACTCCTTTGGTGTTTATGCTCTATAGCACCTAGGTTCTAACTTCATTGTAGAACCTAGAGTGTAAGCTACATAGAAACAGAGATTTTTGTTCATTTTGTAGAACAATATAAGGGAATATATGTTCTAGGATGTAGAGCTAGAATGTAAGCTACATAGAAATAGAGATTTTTGTTCATTTTGTTCATAAAGGAAAACCAAGGCCTTAGGCACCCAAATATCTGTCAAATAAATTAATTTATGAAATTGTCTACTATATCGTAGGGATTCAAATAATACTTTTTTCTTCAGCAAAATAACTGAAGAAACAGCAACAAATTTGAGTGATTTCTAAATTTTAAAGAAGGTGATACTGTAGGAGTAATATTTTAAATGGAATCACAAGACCAGCAAATCATCATATTCATTTATCAAAAATATAGTATTTAAATTCTGAATTTTAGAGCAGCTTCTGAAAAGCAGTGATTTCTATACCTGACAATATCAATCAAACATATGGTTCCTGGAATTTTTATGCATTAATATAAGTTGGAATTAACTCAAGATAGTTCTAGTACAAGTCTAGATAGATGGAGCATAAAAAAGACATGAGAATATTTCAGCTCAGAGTAAAAAGTGATGCAGGTTCTTAAATTCAGAATAGTATGATAATACCTGTATTTTGCCATGGCTAAGGTCATATACCAACTTTTTCCTAAATTATAGGATTTTTAAAAGAAGAAAATCATAATTTACTGTTTCAAACTCTTTAGCCCTGAATCTGATGTGTAGTAGATGTTTGTTAAATATTTGAATTTAAGCCGCAAAGAGAACCTTTTTTTCTTTCCTGATGGGGAGGGGATTTAAAAAGGAAGTGACATAGTCAGAGTTGTATTTGAGAAAAATAATTATGATGATTGTCTAGAAGATGATTTGAAGAAAAGATGGGAAAACCAGGAGGCTCTTTGTTGGTTCATCAAAGTTTGTTCATCGAGGTTTGTTCATCGACGTTCATTCATCAAGGTTGGGTCATACAGTACCTGCTACTTGGTATCACTTAAGAATGAGTGATTCTGTGTGATGACTATAACCTGTAGGAATTTGGGTGAAGAATTATGAAGACCTAATATAAGTAGTGATTAGGATGTAAAGGAATGAATATTTTGGAATTTGTTTAGGCAGAAACATTAAGAGCATTTGGTGAACTTTGTAAAGATTGAAGGCTTGAGAATACCACCTGGCATTCTGATTTGCACAACCAGTTTAATGATGCAGTTAGAGATAAGAGTCTGAGTAGGTGTGATAGTGAGATTAACTATGGACATGTAAGGCTAGGAAAGTCTGTGAAAAATCCCTGGGAAGATGACCAGTGTAGAATTGTAGGCAAGATCTGGTGCTTAGAAGTGATATGAGGGCAGAGGAGGGCGAGTGCTTGTATAATCAACAAAAAACACTTTTTGAAGATGTAAATACATGTGGAAATTCCCCAGAAGGGTGTTTACCTGAGTGAGATGAGATAAGGGCTAAGTCTGCAAGATTATGGACATCAAAAGGTTAAAAGGACAGGAATGACCCACAAAGAAGATTGAAAAGTAACAGCCAGTTGTGACGTCAAGAACCCAGGAAAGAGTAGTTCTATCAGTTAAAATGGTTTCAAGTGCAAGTAATAGAGAAGCTGGCTCACCTAGCTTTAAACAATAAGGTAATTTATTGTGCACATAACTGGAATTCCAGAGGTAGAATGGCCTTGGGAGTGGTTGATCTAGGAGCTCAATAATTTCATTAAGAAACCAGTTTCCTTTGGTCTGTTTTGCCCTGCCATCCACAGTTTTGGATTTGCCTTAACCCTGTTTCCCCTCTGGTGATAGAATGGCTGGCCATAAAAATCAGGATTGCATGCTCCCTCATTCATATCCAGATGAAGATGTGATTTGGATCTGGAAGCCCTCCCACAAGAGTGAAGAAGAACTTACTCCCGAGTCTTCAACAACTACTCCTTGTGTCCCATTGGCACTGTTAAGATTAAAAACAAATGGAGACCAACCTTGAAAATTCTGTGAGCAGACAAAACCAGTTTAGTCAAGCAAGCAAAGCTTAATTTAGCTTATTTTGAAAGGTGGACTTGACCTGGGTCATTTCCTGTTTATGCCTCTGGAAATCATATGCAAAACTTGAACTATTACCCAAGGTTGAGATGAGGTAACCACTGACCGATTCTTATCATTTAAGAGAATTCTAATATTATAACCAATCACTGTAAAGCATACACAGCCACTGCTTTCTCACTGTATAATACAAGTGCTTTGTAACTACCCCTGAGCCTCATTCCAAGTCTTGGTTTGAGTGCTCCTGGTTTGCACACTTTT